ATTTTTGAATAGATAAAAGATCGAAACATATTTTCACCAAATGTTCCAAGCCTGTACGATAGCAGCACAAATAAAACCAGTGAGCGTTTCTATTATCCACATTTTTCGTAGGAAAAAATATGCTATCGCTTCAAGTTTTAAAAGAATATCTCGAGTGAAAATTCGGTTGTAGATTTTAATTCTTTATGTCTTTCAGCGTTATGATGTAGAAATGCATCACTTGAATATCTTTCTTTCGTAGGAAGCAAATGAAATTAGTGAATAGTAAGTTAAAACTTTATTCGATAGTAATATAAGCAAACTGTAACAATGTTTTTAAGTCACGAAAAAAATTTTAAAATCCTGTTCATGCATTTTCCTCCGCTTTTTTCGATGAGTCACAGTTGATAAAGGCGTCTTATTTTTGGCACGATCAATAGCCAATTGTAAAATATTTCTATCACTTTCGTTCATGTTATTCTGCAACTCTTTCAGCATATAATTCATAATTGCATGAAAGTACTGTGGTATTGGCTTACCAGTTCGACACGTATGCATCTTCTCCATAAATGGCATTTGTATGGCTGAGTAGACAACTTGTTGGTCCTTGTCACTGAGACGATCGAGAAATTGTTGAAAATCGTCTTCTGCTGTATCATTGTCGTCCTTCTGTCGCACGATAAACCCTTGTAGTTAAGATGTAACAGGTAACACACAGGACGATAAAAAGAAACAGTATAAATCGCAGTTTTGGTGTACACGGATCTATTAGTATAGGATAATATTTCAATCATTTTATATAACAACGAAGTGATATGCGATAATTGGCAATTATGTTTGATTATTTAGTTTGCTCTCAACTTATTTGTACAAAGAAGAATCAAAAGTAAACATATTGACTCATTTATTCATAAAAGTTTGAAGAAGTATCATAAAAAAGCTCGTTATCACATCTCCTTTAGAGCTAAAATGTGGAACTCACGTGTATCCTTCAGTCTTATTATGTTAATACGTCATCTGTAAACTGAAAACTTTCTTGTTGATTGCAGGTTTTTTGTTAATAATTGTTGACAAGAAAAACAATTGATCATTTAATTTCTACAGCAAAAACTGCAACTCTTTCGTTTCAGTGCGCCCGATCTTTTTTTATTATTGTTGCTATACACTCAATAATAATCATTGTTTTTGTTATTTTTATTTGAAATTACTTTTTTTTCATCATCGATTATTTTATCAAAACGCCTATTAGAATAATATAGTTTATATGTGTCAGTCACTCTCATCAGACTATTAGGTATCTCAATTAATTCATCGATGTTGATATTGTACATGCCTCACACTGATAAAAAGATCGAATCATGTCTGTCATATCGATTATACCATCGGTATGAGAGATCAATACTTATTATTACTCATTATTGTGGATTTTTCACCTGCAAATTTAAATTCTAAGAAATAGGCAATAATTACATTATTAGAAACTTTAATAAATTTATATTAGTTTTTTTTCCAACATTTATGAAAACATTGAAATATTGTATGGTAGTCAAACTCATATTCTTGATACTGTTCAACTTCCTGTTTATTATTGAATAAAGTTGAAGTTTTCTATACCCTGTTGCTGAGGTCTGTAATGGTGGGGTGTGGGTGTGAGTGTGGGTGTGGGTGTGGGTGTGGGTGTGGGTGTGGGTGTGGGGGGTGGGNTGATTCTTACAATGACCTTGGTTTGATATATAATAATACAGGAGATTACTCAAAAGCACTTTCATTCTTGGAAAAAGGACTTGACATTCGACAGCGAATACAACCATCGAATCATCCGAATTTAGCTGATTCTTACAATAACCTCGGTGTGGTATACACTAAGATGCAAGATTACTCAAAAGCGCTTTCATTCTTGAAAAAAGGACTTGAAATTCGACAAGGAATTCAACATCTGAATCAGATAAATTTAGCGGATTCTTACAACAACATTGCTTGGGTTCATTATAAAATGGCAAAATATCCGGAAGCAGTTAAATATCAGAAGCATGCAGTCGAAATGGGAGAAGCATCATTGCCTTCAGATCATCCTCGTCTACTTTTCTGGAAGCAGAGACTCAAAATAATCCAGGTCAAATCATCCAATGGCCAGAACTTCGATCCAGATTTCATCGGAATCCGATGAAAACCGGAGGAATCCCCTCAGAACTTCCTGATATTCAGTCGAGTCCTACTCTCGGACTCTTGGTCACTACAGTCCCGAACACTTCCGATAGAATCCTGTCGGTGCCAAGATTATCAGAGAGGATCTGATGGATAAGTTTCTATCTTGAAATAGAATAAAAATGCTGAATAAATATGAACAGTAAAGTTTCTAACATATATGCGGGTGTAGTGTGGAGTCTGTGAAGAGAACAAACGCATCCGCACCCACATACAATGGGACCATTTTTATTTTTTATGTAAGTATGGCACTTAGGGCAGTTCAAAAGTAGTGGCGGAGGTACTTTATTTTCTAACAGAAAGCTTTAAAAAAAATTCTTTTTTTTATGAACAGATAGAGCGTCTTTCGCTCTATTTTTCTATGTTATTTGATCACTATTCAACTGGTATCATAATAATAAAACTTCGATAAGATCTGTTTCGTCCGCATGTTTGCTAGTAGCCTGAACATGAATGCTCGTGAGTATGTTTTGAATAAAGTTTGATAGAAACAAGATAGAGAACTGCGGTCTTCACTGTTGGAAAGAAGAGATGAAGATGCATCGAACCATGTATTACTGATTTTTCTAACTTGCTTTTTATAAGATTTTCAGTTGACCTTTTAAAGAGCAAACCTATCCTGTGAATTGTTTACAGTGAATTTTCAATAATAAGGTTCTCATTCAAACCGCTAATTGCAGATATAAAAAGTGCGAAAGACTCAGATGTTTAAGTTCAACTATTTTGAGATAATACGTATTCCAGACGGACGTCTACTACGATTTTTTATCGATTTTTTTGCTTTTTTTCTTTTTTCGTAAAACAGCATTTTCCCGACGGTTAGAGAATTGAATGAAAACCTTCAAAAATAATATTATGGAAATCAGTAATATATGGTTCGATGCGTCGTCATCTCCTCTTTCCAACGGTGAAAACCACAGTTCTCTATCCTGTTTCTATCAAACTTTATTCAAAAAATACTCACGAACATTCATGTTACCAGCACATATGCGAAGAAAACAGATTTTATCGAAATTTTATTATTATGATACCAGTTGAATAGTGATCAGATAGCATAGAAAAAAAGAGCGAAAGATGCTCTATCTGTTCATGAAAAAGAAATGTTTTTAAAGCTTTCTGTAAGAAAATAAAGTACCTCCGCCACTACTTTTGGACTGCGCTAAGTATTTTGTTTTTCAATAAACACGTATTTCGTCTCTGCGATTGTTAGTCCTAAGGCTAATTTATTTATCATCAAAAATGAAAATAATCCTTGCTAAAAGATCAATATTTTTGAAAAATTCACTTGTGGGCACTAATGGCAAAAAATTACTATGGTATATGACTCGATGCACTTTCTTGTGATGATTTTGAATATAATTTTATTATGTATAAAAACTTGTTTGATTCGTGAAAAATAGAAAATACCTGAAAAGCAATGTTTTTTTTTCGAAAGTCTTCGGTAGTGTTCAGGAATTTTTATGCGAATTTATGCAACTTGCTGCAGTAGAGAATATATGGAAGAACATTCTGGCAAAAGTTGAATAAGTTCCAAAGTGAAGTGTGACAAGACGCTTCTTTTACTTATAATATAATCGTTTGAAAAATTACAGCAGAGAACAAGAAAATTTATTCTTAGATATGATCCATGGTAATTTAATAATTATTTGTATTAATCGGTAGTGAACATTATGTAAATTGATAATATATATAGTTTTCGGTTCTCACTTCGATATAGATTCCGTGAAACCAATATGTGTTGTATAGATGGCGCTATTTTCAGATTAATATTTAATTAGCTCACTCTACTTCAACTTTGTAGTAAAAATTTTAAGGCCATTAATTAATCCTTAGTGCGAAGTATATGTAGCACTACGTGAGTCTTGCAAATGTAGACTTCCGATTTTTAAGCTGATGTCCATTTGATTGCCCATAGTACTGCATCAAGACATCACTTGAATAACGATTAATTAATGACGCCAGAGTTTTTGTACAAAATGCTTGTTCATCTGATGTAACTTTGGTCAGCTATGAGCAAATTTTTCTACAAGTTCAAAAAGATGTCTGTACAAGGCAAAACATAGAGTTTTGCGCAAAACTTAGTGTGTGTAATTTGTATTTCAAAATAGTTTGCACTCGGTACCACTGTAGATCATTCAATTCTCTGCAAAATGAGCTACTGTCGTAAGCGAAATATGAAATTATTCAAAAGTTACGACATATTTTAGAAGAGCTACTTTCCATGTAAAGTATTATTTGAAACAAGAGTACATTTTTTAGAGCAAAATTAACTCTTTAAAAATGAACTAATAAAACTGTTTCATCTATTGCATTGAATAGGATTTTAGTCGAAATTTACAATTTGATCAAAATTAAACTCTTTAAAAACATCATTTTTGAGCCCGTTGAAAAATTTGCCCATAGCCGACGAAACTAAAACCAAAACAAAACTTGTGAACACTCATTCCGAAACTGTATAAAATTCTCATTCTAACCAGGTGGGGTGTGGGTGTGAGTATAACAGAAGAGAAAAGACCAACGCTCACACCCACACTCACACCCCACACCCGCACCCTTCAGGTCATTCTAGTGCATTTTCTCTTTTATGTGCTGTACTAGTGTTTCTCTTGATGGACTTCTTTCATCTCTTTCCTTTGATCTGACTCATGATCTTCTGGAATGTTCTTCAGTGTCCGAGCTCCGGTATATATACCTGCCACTTCAGAGGAGTAGTTCAGTCTTGCGCAGCTTAAGCCTGTAATCACTTTGAGTTAATAAACGACTCGCAACAGACCACTTACGAAGGGTTAAGCTTTAGCGCTATACATTTGATGTAGATGAATAAAGAAAACTTTCGCTTTTATATTAAAGTAAGCACAGCACTTAATAACCCAGCAGGGGTGATTTATGATGAATTATATTCTGTCTGTCATGATCAAGCTCCTTCTTATACAACAGTTACAAGATGGGCTAAATGGTTTCGTGAAGGCCGAGAAGAAGTTGAAGGTGAAGCACGATCTGGCAGACCTGTTACCGAAACAACATCTGAAAATAATGAACAGGTCCGTCTTCTTATCGATGATGATCCTTGCATTACAATAGAAGAGATGCAAGAACAAATTGGTTTAAGTCATAGCACCGTTCAGAGAATCATCACCGATCATTTAAACCTTGAGAAGGTTACCGCTCGTTATATACACAAGAATCTGACTGACTTTCAACGGGCTGAACGAGTTCGAAGATGTCAACAAAATTTGGCAAAATTTCAAGAAGGAACATGGCGTTTATGTGATATAATAACTGATGACGAGTCGTGGCTTTATCATACACAAATTGGTCGAAAGTTATCGAATGCAGCATGAGTGGGAAGAGGAGATTCTCCGCCTACTGTAGTTCGACGTAGTAAGTTTGCTCCAAGAACCTTATTTTCCATCTTTTTAAAAGTCAATTGGTCCTGTTTTCATTCATCGTGTGGAACGAGGACAAGCTATTCATCATCATTATTACATCAACAATTGTTTACGACCTCTTGTTGACGAAATCAAACGTCAAAGCCCTTCATATGGCACTAGTAGTATTAAAATTCACCACGATACTGGAAGGCCACAGATTCATAAAGATGTGTCCAATTATCTTGAATCGGAAGGTTTCACAGTTATGCCAGATCCACCTAATTCTCCAGATTTATCACCATATAACTTTTGGCTATTCGACTTAATTAAAGAAAATCTAACTGATCAAGGTGATTCAGAATCATTATACGATGCTGTGAGCGAATTCATGTATTGTGTAAATAAAGAAGAATATAGAGAAACACCTTCCAGAATTGAATTCAGAGAATGGAATTGTGTATAGGTAACCAAGGTAATTATTTTGAACATTTGATAAAATAAACAATTGTTGAACTTGTTTCTCTATTTCTTTTCTGTTCCATCGGCATTATTTTTTGTACACTAAAATATTTGGACGGCTAGTTATTAGAAGAGATAAGAAAAAGAAGATGAAAGAAAGAAGAGGAGAAAAATAAAGAAAAACGAAAAGAAAACATGCATGGATGATAATATATAGTATTGGTACCAGCTGGAGTTGCACAAAAAACAGTTTTTATGATAATTTTATTATTATGATATCGATTGAATAGTGATCAAATAGCACAGAAAGATAGAGTAAAAGACGCTCTATCTGTTCATAAGAAAAGAATTTCTTTCAAACAGTCTATATGAAATTAAGATGCGTGACCCACTACTTTTGGTAGCACCTAAGTAGTTATTGAAGTTGCATTTTCTTTATAAAAAGCGTCAAGAACAATTAAATAAGCAAACCTCCTATCATGTTCTGTTCGTAGCTTGAAACATGTTTAATCAATCCAGTGTATGAAATGCATTGAATCCATAGAGCGTTCTTGGTCGCATTTGAGCAAATCGATTGATTGATGGTGGAAACCATTCTCGTTGATTAATGCACTCAGTGCAAGATGAAGTCCTAAATTACATGTTTGTGTCATAAAAATTCAAAGGAAAGTTTACATTTTCCTTGATTTGTACGCATTTTTCCTTGACCCTGCTTATCAACCCAGATAGTTCGTTTCTCTTCTCCACTGTTAAACCATGTTTTATCCCTAAAACGGTGTAAAATACTCTTAGTGGCGAAAAACGCCACCTGGAAATTACTGATAGAATGTAAGTATTCCATTTTGACGTATTTCATCTAACTTTCGAAAATATGATGCTCTTGATGCGATGAAATCTGTTGAATCCATTGGTATACATATGTTATTTATTCTTCTGTATGAAAATCCGATTTTCTTCATCACTCTCCAGAGTGACGTCATACTTTTCACCGGAAAGTTTGGATTTTCGGTTAGAATCTGAGTAAACAATTTTTCTGTATTCGGATATATTTTTTGTCAGCTAATAAAAGATGAAAGTAGTACCTACACAAATGAGGTCAACTATTGAAATGGAAAAGATAAATCAGTAGAACTGGTCTTATTAGGTCTTCTTCATATTCATTTAAAGAAATCTTTAAACTGGTAGGATCACTACGTTTTGCTGGTGATTTAGTAGCTGGACGAGGTGTATCGGTACTTTCTGACTGGTCGTTTTTTGGTATCATGCAAGGTGAGGATGATCATCGACCCAAGCCCTCGTTTTTATACTTTTGCACAAGTAAATATGGTCGTTGTTGTTGTTATTATTGTTGCTCAAGCAATTTTTGCTCGGGAATATTTTGCACTTCTTCTAACTGTTTTAATTCATTTTTCAAATTCACCAGAGAGCCATGCGATATTTGAAGTGCAACCATTATACGATCATTGACATTATATAATGGTATGGTTGCTCTAGTTTTTTCCCCTTCGATAAATTTGATTACATTGAACATCAATTCTTTTGTTTCTTGGCTATAATGTTGGTCTTTAGGCATTATTCTATTCAATCTGAAATAGACAAATTACAGATTACAGCATTATATAGCAATATAAAATGAAGATTCATCCCTATCGTTCAATATCATTGCGATCCCGTGTATATGTGTTTCTTCAGTTTTCTTTAACCTCTATCTTACTATTGTATTGTTGGCTGAGATTTGTGTAGATCTTGTAGCACTGATTTGAAAGAAAAATAATAGTCAATGCCTGCATAGGCGAACGGATGCAGATCAAGGCCAAAATAATTTGCTGAAAACGCGAAGATGTTTAATTTGCCGACTCGATGAGTTGCGTCGCTGCACAATAAAATCACATCAAGTGTACTTAATTGAATACATCCTACCAGAGTAAACGTTATCATTAAAATTCTCTACAGATATTGGTTCCTTATCATAAAAACCTACATCTAGAGTTTGTTTTGTTCATATTCTAAGCAAAAGAAAAGACTACGAAGGTTAATAAATCATGTCACGAAATCGAAGACAACTAAACATTACAGAGGATAATATGATTTGTCCACTGAAAATTTGAAAAAAGTTGGTCACTAGCCTTCAGTAAATTCTTTATATTTTGGGAACAGAAACAGCTATAAATCTCGGTCTTGCGTGGATCAATAGAGGCGACGATAAGCTATCTACTCACTATATTATAAGTAGCGAACCATATTGTATTTATGTCAGATTAGGTTCATCTTTAAAACTCATAGTGTATGCAAGACGAAAAATGAATCAAATTTTTCATTGATCTTATGAAATGATAGAGCAATCTTGACTCTAGATACTGTTAAAATATCAGCTCTTCATCTCTTGTTACTATGGTGTTATTCAAAAAATGCCCACGACCATTTATCTCTGAAATGGACATTAGTAAATATAATTCTTATTACATAAAATTTTTTTTCCTTAATTCATATGAACAACGTCGTCCAAAAATAAATATAATTTTTTATTAAATAATTTTTTTTGAAATTAGATCAATATGAATAACGTCGTCCATAAGTAAATATACTATCGGGGCCAATTGAATTCCCCCCTCCCCTTTATTTTTTTGTGGAACTCACATATATTTTCGAAGAAAATAGTGAGTGTAAGTTTTAAGTTCGAGTTTTTGCGGCTACCCCCTCCCCTCCCCACCTCCGCCCACCCCGTTACAGACCTGAACAATCAATAATAGAGGATGTTAAATTTTTTCGAGTTTTTTTTGGAAAATTGATCAAGTTATCATTTTGAAAAATAATTAATATCATTATTTGTGACTTGATTAATATATATGATAGTGTACAATGTCTGCTGTAGATATCATAGATATGTAAAATACACTTATTTGTCAATCAATTAAATGATTATAATAATAAGAATGATAAATTAAGAAAAATGAATTTAAAAAAATAAAAAAATAATGAGCGAATAGCAACAATGCAAATAAAAAANATATTTACAAGTCATAATAAATATAGACAAGAGAAATTGAAATAAAAATGCGTAAGGAACACTTTAAAAAAATAACGACTTAAGAATTCATTTTGTAAATTTAATTTAATTTAGTCGCAATGTACATGTGCGTATGTACATATATGGCAAGCACGTGGAAGAGGAAAAAAAGACAGAACTAAACATAGAGTTGATATAATCACGTGCTTGTCAGCATGACACGTTCAGCGATGTGATTTCATTTGTAACTAGATAGCTTCAAACTTTAGATAAGCAAACGAAATCTTTAGTTTTACTCGGCGTGTTAATTCGAATATCTATATAAGAGAGCACTGCCTAAATATAAGCTGTCAGTCATCAGAACTACTCGAATTTATATTTAATGTCAAAAAAGTAACAAACAAATGAAATCCATTTAATTCGCGCTGCATATTGTAGTAAAGAAAATGTCACTTATTTTTCTCATACATTTTTTATTCTTTAAACTGTTTTTGATGTTCAATGTAAATATACCAAAAGATGCAGTGTGTTCTGGGCGTTCTGTCTATATGTAGTAGGTTAATAAAATAAAAGAACTACAGTAATGAAAACAAAAAAAAATAAAGGGGAGGGGAGAATTCAATTGGCCCCGATAGTATATTTACTTATGAACGACGTTATTCATATTGATCTAATTTCAAAAAAAAATTATTTAATGAAAAATTATTTTTATTTTTGGACGACGTTGTTCATATGAATTAAGGAAAAAACAAATTAATGTAATAAAAATTATATTTACTAATGTCCATTTCAGAGATAAATGGTTGTGGGCAACTTTTGAACAACACCATAGTAACAAGAGATGAAGAGTTGATATTTTAACAGTATCTAGAGTCAAGATTGCTCTATCTTTTCATAAGATCAATGAAATTTGATTCATTTTTCGTCTTGCATACACTATGAGTTTTAAAGATGAACATAATCTGACATAAATACAATATGGTTTGCTACTTATAATATAGTTGGTAGATAGCTTGTCATCGCCTCTATCAATCCACGCAAGACCGAGATTTATAGCTGTTTCTGTTCCCAAAATACAAAGAATTTACTAAAGGCTAGTGACCAACTTTTTTCAAAATTTCAGTGGACAAAACATATTATCCTCTGTAATGTTTAGTTGTCTTCGATTTCATGACATGATTTATTAACCTTCGTAGTCTTTTCTTTTGCTTAGAATATGAACAAAACAAACTCTAGATGTAGGTTTTTATGATAAGGAACCAATATCTTTAGATAATTTTATTGATAACGTTTACTCTGGTAGGATGTATTCAATTAGGTACACTTGATGTGATTTTATTGCGCAGCGACGCAACTCATCGAGTCGGCAAATTAAACATCTTCACGTTTTCAGCAAATTATTTTGGCATTGATCTGCATCCTTTCGACTATGCAGGCATTGACTATTATTTTTCTTTGAAATCAGTGCTACAAGATCTACACAAATCTAAGCCAACAATACAATAGTAAGATAGAGGTTAAAGAAAACTGAAGAAACACATATACACGGGATCGCAATGATATCGAACGATAGGGATGAATCTTCATTTTATATTGCTATATAATGCTGTAATCTGTAATTTTTCTATTTCAGATTGAATAGAATAATGCCTAAAGACCAACATTATAGCCAAGAAACAAAAGAATTGATGTTCAATGTAATTAAATTTATCGAAGGGGAAAAAACTAGAGCAACCATACCATTATATAATGTCAATGATCGTATAATGGCTGCACTTCAAATATCGCATGGCTCTCTGGTGAATTTGAAAAATGAATTAAAACAGTTAGAAGAAGTGCAAAAAATTCTCGAGCAAAAATTGCTTGAGCAACAATAATAACAACAACAACGACCATATTTACTTGCGCAAAAGTATAAAAACGAGCGCTTGGGTCGACAATCATCCTCACCTTGCACGATACCAAAAAACGACCAGTCCAGAAGTACCGATACGCCTCGTCCAGCTGCTAAATCACCAGCAAAACGTCGTGATCCTACCAGTTTAAAGATTTCTTTAAATGAATATGAAGAAGACCTAATAAGGCCAGTTCACCTGATTTATCTTTTCCATTTCAATAGTTGACCTCATTTGTGTAGGTACTACTTTCATCTTTTATTAGCTGGCAAGATATATCCGAATACAGGAAAATTGTTTACTCAGATTCTAACCGAAAATCCAAACTTTCCGGTGAAAAGTATTACGTCACTCTGGAGAGTGATGAAGAAAATCGGATTTTCATACAGAAGAACAAATAACATATGTATACCAATGGATTCAACAGATTTCATCGCATCAAGAGCATCATATTTTCGAAAGTTAGATGAAATACGTCAAAATGGAACACTTACATTCTATCAGTAATTTCCAGTTGGTGTTTTTCGCCACTAAGAGTATTTTACACCATTTTAGGGATAAAACATGGTTTAACAGTGGAGAAGAGAAACGAACTATCTGGATTGATAAGCAGGGTCAAGGAAAAATGCGTACAAATCAAAGAAAAGGTAAACTTTCCTTTGAATTTTTATGACACAAACATGTAATTTAGGACTTCGTCTTGCACTGAGTGCATTAATCAACGAGAATGGTTTCCACCATCAATCAATCGATTTGCTCAAATGCGACCAAGAACACTCTATGGATTCAATGCATTTCATACACTGGATCGGTTAAACATGTTTCAAGCTACGAACAGAACTTTATAGGAGGTTTGCTTATTTAATTGTTCTTGACGCTTTTTATAAAGGAAATACAACTTCAATAACTACTCAGGTCCTGCCAAAAGTAGTGGGTCCCGCATCTTAATTTCATATAGACTGTTTGAAAAAAATTCTTTTCTTATGAACAGATAGAGCGTCTTTTACTCTATCTTTCTATGCTATTTGATCACTATTCAATCGATATCATAATAATAAAATTATCATAAAAACTGTTTTTTGTGCAACTCTAGCTGGTACCAATAGTGCATATTATCATCCATGCATGTTTTCTTTTCGTTTCTTCTTTATTCTCCTCTTCTTCTTTCTAGAAAACGCACGCTGTATTTCTCTCTCTCTTCTTCTCGTATGTTCAGGTTATTCAAGTGCATTTTCTGTTTTCTGTTCTGTACTAGTATTTCTCTTGATGGACTTCTTTCATCTCTTTCCATTGATCTGACTCATGATTTTCTGGAATGTTCTTCAGTGTCCGAGCTCCGGTATATATGCCTGCCACTTCAGACGAGTAGTTCAGTTTTTCACAGCTTAAGCCTGTAATCACTTTGAGTTAATAAACGACTCGCAACAGAGCACTTAAGAAGAGTTAAGCTTTAGCACTATTCATTTGTTGTAGATGAATAAAGAAAACTTTCGCTTTTATATTAAAGTACGCACAGCACTTAATATCCCAGCAGGAGTGATCTATGATGAACTATATTTTGTCTGTGGTGATCAAGCTCCTTCTTGTACAACAGTTAAAAGATGGGCTAAATGGTTTCGTGAAGGCCGAGAAGAAGTTGAAGATGAAGCATGACCTCGTAGACCTATTATTGAAACAACATCTGAAAATATTAAACAGGCTCGCCTTCTTATCGATGATGATCCTCACATTACAATAGAAGAGATGCAAGAGCAAACTAGTTTAAGTCATGACACCGTTCAGCGAATCATCACTGATCATTTAAATCTTAAGAAGGTTACCGCTCGTTATATATCCAAAAATCTGACTGACTTTCAACGGGCTGAACGAGTTCGAATATGCAAACAAAATTTGGCAAAATTTCAAGAAAGAACATTGCCGTTTATGTGATATAATAACTGGTGACGAGTCGTGGTTTTATCATACACAAATTGGTCGAAGATTATCGAATACAGCATGGATGGGAAGAGGAAATCCTTCAACTACTGTAGTTCGACGTAGTAAGTTTGCTCCAAAAATCTTATTTTCCACCTTTTTTAAGTCAAATGGTCCTGTTTTCATTTATCGTGTGGAACGGGGACAAGCTATTGATCATCATTTTTACATCAACGATTGTTTACGACCTCTTGTTGATGAAATCAAACGTCAAAGACCTTCATATGGCACTAGTCATATTAAAATTCACCACGATAATGGAAGGCCATATATTCATAAAGATGTGTCCAATTATCTTGAATCAGAAGGTCTCACAGTAATGCCACATCCACCTAATTCTTCAGATTTATCACCATGTGACTTTTGATTATTCGACTTAATTAAAGAAAATCTAACTGATCCAAGTGATTCAGAATCATTATACGATGCTGTGAGCGAGTTCATGTATTCTGTAAATAAAGAAGAATATAGTAAAACCTTCGAGAAATGGATTTGAAGAATGCAATTGTGTATAGAAAACCAAGGTGATTACTTTGAACATTTGATAAAGAAACAATTGTTGAACTTCTTTCTCTATTTCTTTTCTGTTCCATCGCCATTATTTTTTGTGCACTGTAAAATATATGGATGACTAGTTATTAGAAGAGATAAGAAAAAGAAAATGAAAGAAAGAAGAGGAGAAAATAGAGAAAAACGAAAAGAAAACATGCATGGATGATAATATGCACCATTGGTACCAGCTGGAGTTACACAAAAAACAGTTTTTATGATAATTTTATTATTATGATATCGATTGAATAGTGATCAAATAGCATAGAAAGATAGAGTAAAAGACGCTCTATCTGTTCATAAGAAAAGAATTTTTTTCCAAACAGTTTATACAAAATTAAGATGTGGGGCCCACTGCTTTTGGTATGATCTAAGTATTTTCGTTTTATTTTATTCAGTTTATCTTGAGAGTAGCATCGTAAGCAATCATATTTGAAAGTATAGTTATAAAATAAAACTTGCAGTTGACTACTTTGGTATATCGTATCTAAATGACATGAAAAAAAGCATTGAAGCAGAAGGGTGCCGTTAGTAAATCTTCGAAAATTCAATTTTGATCTTCTGCTGTATAGATAAGTCAGTCCGATATTTTCAATCTAACGAGTGTCTCAAAAAGTCGTTGAGAAAACAAACATGAATATCTCTTGAGCAATTCAAGGGTGTAAAATGTAGCTGCGAAGTCGATCTGGGCGTGTGTCAGTATGAATTTACGTCATCTCTTCAGTCCAAGACGGTTTCACAACCAACTTTCTCCGAAAATAGTGCGCGATCAGTACTGTTTGTATCACGTACTATGTCAGGTTAAGTTTACGGTTTTTTCACAGATATTAGAATCTGTTTTACACTTTTACAGCTTTTCATCGTTGACTTAGCTACTTGTATGCATGTCAAAAACATTTGTTATTCTGCAAGTGCTGCTGCATGATGTGATCGGTGCACAAGTGTCTGATTTGCATGCGATGCTTTTTTTTAAGTATTTCTTGTGAATTGAATGAAAATGAAACAATATGAACAAATTCCATTAGTTGAAAAAGTAGTTGAAAGCATGCGTGAGAGCAAAGTAATGTCTTAAAAACAACGTTATTCCCACTGTGTTGTTTGAAAGATGCCCACAAGCACGCAGGCGGAACTAAGAACCGTTTATCTTCCTCGGAGTGTAAGCTTTCCAATAAAGATTTATCTAATTATTTTTGTCTCTGCTAATAGCAATTCAAATTACAATCGGTTGCGAGTCTTGATCTCGATTCATTGGTAGAAGTACCCGATAAGAAGATTCACCGGCAAGTTATTATCTTCACGATAGTCGTGTCACAAATGAAATACTGTAGAGCGGGTGGTGGACCAAGTACTTTATTGTAAAGTATTGACAACTGTTGGAACTTTGTGAGTAATCGGAACTGCTGTTGCTGTTTCTGTGGCGCTTACATTAGGTAAGACAACAATAGCAATTACTATGATGATATCTATGTAGTATTATGTCAATACTTTGAGTGAAAGCTGTTTGAAAATATAGGTTTTTGGTTAGTTTAACTCCTCAAATGTTACGATATTGATTAACTCTCATTAATTGTATCTTTTCTAATTTCTCATGATAACTGAAATATAATCTTTGATTTACATCATTAGCAAATAGTGCTTCATTTGCAACAAACTATAGATACATCTTGTATGTTAATTTCATGTTAATAGGTCCTTCAATATTTATTTCATTGGCTTGAGAATGGACAGATCTTCGGATCTGAGAACGCTAATGCTTGAGGTACATAGTATTATGAATAGTAAACAGTCAATTTACGTGTGCACCAAGAGAAGGAACAACTGACCTTCCACGCTATTTCCAAGAAATGCTTGGAACACATGCGTAAATTTTCGTCTCAAGTGGAAGTACTAAGTTTCGAATATTCATATACTGAACAATGTTTAACAGGATGCCATGATAAGTACCTTGATAACAGTATGTCACGATTACATGACTGGATACTTTATTGAAAATTGTCTCAATACGCGTTCACTTAAGGCACTTACTTAGATACCCGACGAATGAGAGGACAACATATCCAGCTGTTGGACGTCGTTTGAAGACATTACTGTAAGTATATCTTCTCGTTATCGACATCGAAAGCTAGACAAGCCATTGGCACGAACTCTTTTAGGGTCTTCTTAGTCTTACTGAATTCTACTCACAGCTAAAAGATGAAGTCGAATGATGTTCGACAGTTGGATACATTCTCACGTAAGCAAATACGTCCATAGATTCAATTACCTCATGCACAGCCTGTGATAAGATAGTAATAGTCTGAGCATCTACAAAAAGTTTAAACTCAAATGTTTTAACTGTGTGTCAAGCACCTGAAAGTACTCAACCATTCATAAGCTTCTGTACCGTTCTAGTATTCAACTACGTGAGCTCAGTTCTTAATCTAAGGTACACCTGTAAATAACTAAAGAGTTCGAAATGAGTTTTTCGAGAATGCGAACTAAGAAATTCGTTAAGGTTTATAAATTGTGGCTGGGAGCTGGCAATATATAAAGTTTTAGATTTATAAAAGTTCTGTTGATAAGAGTATAAAATCCGTTCACAGGACTGCTGTTTGTAGGTTGAGTGAACTGTCATCTTCAAAAGAAGATATTCCGTGAACAACGTTTGCTGTTGGTTGCCGAAAACAATGAGTACGAATAATATCATAACGGTTTTCGATTTTACACATTGCAGCATTATTCTCAAATGACAAATGAAATATTGATAGCAGCTTTTGTGAAATATAATTCTAAACAAATGTGGAAGTTTATGGCGAGAAAAGTGAACAATCCCCTTTTTCATCGATCTACACTTGTAGACACGTGAATGATAGATAGAATGAATAAAGCCTACTGTTGTCACATATCTTGGCAGATAGACCGGAAAGAATTCACCAACGTTATAGACTATGACCGACGTAGCGAGGGCTTTGTTTACGAGTCGTAGATCAATCGTGTTTCACATTTTAATCCCTTATGGATTACGCTGAAAACTTTTCCACTAGGAAACATCACAACTGGTACCGTAACCACAACTACCAGTACAACTAGTACAAGTATTACGAGCACTACTACTACAACAGCCACCACTACAACTACTACAACAACTACCACGACTACAACTGTTACTACTACTACCTCTGCTACAACAACTACCGCCACAGCACGTAAGCTGAATAGGGTGTGGGTGTGAGTGTGGGGTGTGACCCTATTCTATACCAATAGCCACACGCACACCTACACTCACACCCACACCCACACCCACGCACACCCACACTCACACTCACACTCACACCCACACACCGACACACCCACACACCCACACCCACACCCACACCCACACCCACACCCACACCCACACACCCACACCCTCAATCTCCCAATGGCGTTACACAACATCAAGTCTCAGTCGGTACTACCACGAGCTACTTACAAGTGGTTACTAATTTAAACAGCAATACATACTCCGGTCAATGGATTAATATAACATATAATCCGTTGCTGACTGGAGTAAGCTTTGTCCGTGTTAATACAATATCTAGCCCATCATGGGTGGCTTGGCAAAAGTTCCTGGTTTATGGAGTTTGACAACAAGTAGCCAAAAACTTTTCAATTAACAATCTAAGATTAAATTCAACAGCGGTGGCAAAACTTGATGACAATAACATTTTCCATTCTTTTTGTACATTTTGTGCGTTAAACATATCTGCGGCAAAAGTTGCTTCATTTATTTCGTATTTGCCTAACTAGATCCATGACATTCGGAGCTCTAATGGCTTACTGTAACCGCCTACAGAAATATATGAGCAAAACTCTAAAGTAAAAATCTCAAGGATAATATCAACTATGCATCTGAGATTTCCGCAAAGCAAAAGAAAAAATATAACGTATTGAATCTACATAGAAATCGATGAACTAATAATTATTTTGGTTAGATATTTTCTGTAGGCCGCATTAGGGTGTGGACATTAGTGTAGTCGGTGTAGGTTTAAGTCTGATGATGTGACTCTGTGATGCACATGGGTATGACTAGGATAATATTGACACCTATTCTCATATACCCATATACTTCAAGATAAATTTGCGTCCATACAGCTACGTACGTTTTTTTTGCTATATGATCGCCGCTTTATGCTTCAGCGGATATTTTTTTCATTTTTATGAGATGAATACTATGTGCTCGTATTGAAACAACAACGTCCGGACTAGCTTGCGTGTCATCAACAATCAAAGTCTCTTCTTCGAGAACGTCTCCACGCATTTGCATCCTGTGCACAGCAAATACACCCTTATATTTGAATGGTGATACCAGCACATTGTTAATCCATTGTGCAGCTATCGTCACGCCGCCACCCTCATCCGTATACAAATCTTCAGCGCCATGCCCTCGACAGAAACGATAGTCCTTGATTGCTTGCACAACTCCATTCTCGGTGAATGTGCTCCGCCATTTTGTGCAACTTTCATCAACCATTGGATAAGGTCCGATCTCCAGTGTCACGTTCCAGCCAGAACCTAATTCACTTTCTGGATATGCTTCCATCACACCGTTCCAAGTACCAGCCCAATTGGTCTGCTCTAAACCTGACTTGCTCATGGACCAACCTGAAAAGCACATAAATTGTAAAATTTTGGTTGTAAACTCCGTACAATTTCGTTAACATTCAAGTAGCTCAATGAGTGAATTTACTGCATAGACAATGCTTTCAAATACTTTTAAAACTTAATATGGATTGTCAACATAAAATTGATTAGACGGGGTCAGTGACAGTGAACGATTCTATATATTGTTGTAGCTTCAACAGGACTCATCTTACATGATAATATATATGCCTTTTTCTCGTATTACGAATTTCTTACATTTGTTAGACAAACTTTCTATTTTGATTTGAAAACCAGCGTGTTTTATTGAACATAAGATGGTTATGTGTAGATGTAAGTGCAAATTTTAGCTACGAAACCAAAAGTAAATTTATTAGACATACTCATAAGACTTCCTTATTACTCATTACATATGCTTCTTAATCCGTTTTTTAGCTGTTAGAACCTGAATAAATAACAGTGATCATATGCTGATTCACTTCATTATATGATGAGAACAATATGATAATCCTCAACATTGGAACATAGAGTTCGTTGGGCATTTCACTATTTGAAATATCAGAAATGAAGGATATTCAGACTTAAAAAGTTAATTCCAAAAGTCTACTTTCTTCTTGTCTATAGTGGTTGAATCAATTGCTCTACATATCTTTTTTTCTTCCACAATTTTATAACATTAATATTTCTAAGACCAGAACGACATTATCGGGATCGTTTCAATTTAGAATCTAACGTCTAGTAACAATTCATGCAAATAAGAATTCTTCTCTTCCTAGAAATTTTCGTCTTCTATCTCCATAACTTTTCCTTTTGCCAACCTGCATTTGGTCGAGATACATTCAGATTGATTGTTGGGGTCATAAAGTAAAAGCCATTCGTTTAAATAACGCGTATTGTTCTTATCTATGACAAAACAAGTTTTGAACTTTTAAGACACTTCAAAATGATTGCGATATACTGTTTAATGACACCCGCATACATACTTCAAGGTCTCATTTCACTGCAACATTTTACTGCTAACATTGAAAGATTTTAGATGTATAGTTCAAAGAGATAGAGAGACTCGGGTGTATGTACCAAAATCAAAATATCTGTTCCTGCCTTATTTTTAGGAAGTCAAATAGTAATATGTCTTGAAGTACGACGTAGACAATAGTCTCAAAAAGTAGATTTTACATAGACAAACGCCAATGAATTAGTTACTGTCTGTCAACTCTAGCTATTCAATCCTGCAAAAATAGTTCAATTTAATTTACATTTTCAGAAGTTTAACTATAAAGTTACTGCTTCGTCAAGGAAAAAAGAAGGCAATTTATAATATAATTTTATTAGTGAGCATTTTATGTATTAACAATTCTTACTGTATACATACCATTTTTCGTGCATTTGACGACAGCAACGCCGATTACAGAAAACAAAAACAGACAGAAGAGACTATGCAATTTGATTCCATTCATTGGCATGAAAAAGAACAGATGATTTTTGTGAGCAACAGCAAAGTCTGTATAACGAAAATTTTATCAGAAGAATGTCGCAATTGCATTGGTTTTTATACTGCATTGATAGTTCGATAAATGTCTTTTTTTTCTTTTAGTCAATTTAAGTACGAAGAGAACACTTTTTTCATTACAGCAGTAATAACTGAAACAAGGATTTGACGCGTAAATATTTACCGCTTAAAAGGACGAAGAGATTACAGTATCAAAATAGCAAAGCGCTTCAACGTTGCAAAATTTGAGTCATCTAAAACTTATGACATCGCAGATTTTTTGTAAGATCTGACTAAAGATAGAACAGTGTATTTTGATTTTGAAGTAGGATATTGGATTGAAACTGTCTGAAATACAACAAAGTATTTCAAATGACGTTCAAGCCGTTCAAAGTGCCCTGAAGCGTGCCAAACTACATCGAAATATCTTACGATGCATACTTGATTGAGAACAAAAATCTCAGATACCTTGTACATTATCAATTTTTGTCTATAATCATCTAGTGAAAATATTCTAATACTAGTTTTGACAGCCTTTGAAAATAAGTGTAGATCAGCGATAGATGTAAGGTTGTGGGCATGAGATATAACGTTGATGTTTCTCTCTTTCAATCTTGATAGATGCATGTATGAATTAGTTTGCAGGTGTAATCAGATGGTGCCCGTATACATATTTTTTCGAGATTTTGACGCTTAGTATGATTTAGCGTTATTGCTAATGTGTTACGTTTCATTTTGGAGATATTAGCAAATAAATGCTTGAAGTATATTTATAACGAAGACATTTTACGCTAACTTACGAAAAATGTATTCGTCATTTTCCATCAGAAGAATACGTTTTATTCAATTATTAAATTAATCATATTAGTATATATTGTCTCTTCATTTTCTCTGCTGCCAGATAATTAACAAATACACAATACCACGAATAGGATTAGCCTTATCAAGATTGACAAACCTCGGTTCAGTTCATTTCAATGTAAGCATCATTCCACTCATTATTGAAACTAAGTGCTGCTATAGTCACATATGTGCTCATAGGCTAACATCAAGCCCACAATATCCTATGAGCATCAACATTTCAATCAAATCAAGCCAACCTTTCACACTACTGTCCTTATTGAAAAACTTTGGACTGTCTTATCACAACAAAACGAAATAGTGGGAATGAATTCCACGGTATCCCTGACTTTGCCTAATCCAAAATGTGCTATTAAGATAGAGATATTTTTGATACTTACACAACGTCACTTATAACTGTTTTCTTTCTAGAAGTGTAAAATGAACAGACAATATTCGAACCATAGAGCTGCACTTTGTTTTCAACGAAAATTAAATACACGATAATGCTTATCAGTAGACTTATTGCACATTATTCCACACAAGAAAGTCATTAAAGTAGAGCAGGAATAATAGTTGTCTAGAAATTTTAAGCGTTTAAGGAATTCGCCACTGAATATATCGATATATCGATCAGATTTGCCAGTAAGTCTGAAGAATTGAACACTTTTCCGCCAACGCGGACCCCTTAGTCTATTGGATGCTGTATTTCAAGAAATCAACCTAGATTGTTGCTGCCTATCGAACATCCTCGCTTATAGAGATTGGATGAATGTGGATGTGGAGTGTCGATGTTAGGCAACGAAAACCCATTTACGTCCAGATTCATATCATCTGAACTAGCAATTAAACTGTTAAGACGAGCGATACTCTTCTCCATAAGGATAGAGCTAGTTGAAGGAAAATGTTTCAAGCAGATGAAGCGTTTGAGTGAAGAAAAAAAATATACTAGGCCGATGCTCTTTCTCATTCATGATGATAGACTATGTTTTGAGTAAATAATCATGAATTTAAGACTTCAGTGGGATGATAAGCCACGCTTGAAACACACGCAATGACTACGCAATCCTGCGTTGATTAATCAAATTAACTGTGTCAAGTCATCGTTATCCATTGATTTTATTTGGAGTGAATCTATTTTGCTCGTCATGATTTTGAATGATCAAGCATCTAATTATGGATGAACTACTTAACTTAACGTAAAATTAAGTTAAATTTCGTTAGTTATCACTAAGTTTTTAATTTTAAGTGATTGGGTTTGGCAAATATCATGTTGATTGGAGGATTTCTCTACTTCGCTAGAGACTTGGCATTATGTTGTCCAAGACATTTAAGAAAGAATCCCTGTTAATTCTTGATCGACTCTGACAATACGATATTTTGTCCTGATAATAGTGAAAAAACTCTAGCTGAAATCTAGGTAGCTATGAGCATTTTGATTTCAACCAATTAGATTTCAGCAAATGGTTTCTTTCCTACTGTAAAGAGAAAGAGGAATATTGTCCGAGTGAATTGGCGATTAGCAGAGGTTCTCTTTTTAAATGGCTCGAACAATACCATAATGAGTCTGCATTGGAGTGAAGAAAATCTCCAATTCAAATAACGTTGGTCTAACGCAAACATTTACACTTACTATTAATTACTAAGTTTTTTTTTATTAACATTTAACACTAATTTTTAAGCAAAAATCACCTAATACCTAACTGAATTGACTCCAATTAATACAAATGGTCCACTCCTACTCTGCAGATGTAATTTCGAAAAGAGAAAATGGTCTACATTTGAGCAGTTGCCTATTCGATCTTCTTCTACAGTTCGTGTTGTAAAGGAAATTATTTTGGAAAAATAAATCTTACAATTCTGTCTAGCGGTAAATTCTCTATAGAGTGACTTAAGAGCTGAATCTTGAACGTTAAATCAACTGTTTATTATGTTACACTCGTTAGATAACATCTGACGCAGCTATCAAGTATTACATGCATTGTCGTCAAATTTGACAACATGATGTAATATTCGTAAGACAAATCATGAACTTCTGAATGAAATCTCAGACGCATGTTAATCAATATTCTAATGTATTATTCTAGGTAGCTACTCTATATCAACATTCATTGAGCCGAAGAACTTGTTCATAGAGTCGTTCTTTACTCATCATTCGACTATATGAAAACTAAATACGATGATCAACGACGAAAATTCGAAATCACATGCATTTAAGAAATCAAAGATGAAATTGTTCGCACTCGAATGTTAAAGCAGTTTGATGATGAACCCAATACGGAATTAGTACGCAAAGGACAAATCAACGATTGGAAAGCGTTTATGTGACTATAGAGTAAAGTGAACAAATCAATAACAAATTCATTGAAACGTGTCAGAAATGTGATGGACTCAAAAGTTACTGGTCGAAATGGAATATTTTTTTAAGTGTTGATGAATATTTGCAGGTTTAGTTTGAAAGTCATTAATGGAATATAGTAATTAATCAAGCAGAATATAGAATGTTTCCTATCGATAGGTCAATGTAATAAAAGGAAACAGAATATTGATATTGAAAATAAAGGTAACAAATGAAGATGAAGTTCTTTTCATCTTCACTCATACACTCATCCTGTTTCGAAATCACAGTCCAATCATTTTGTTCTTTCATGTTCTCGTCCAGTTATGGGACGAACTATTTGAGAGTGATAGTTCTTTCTTCGTTCATCCACTATCGAACATAACATTGACTACTGCTCATAAATCATCCAAAATATTTAAAGACACGCAGAAAAACATAATTGCTTAAGCAGAACAAATTTTAACAGTACGTGTTCTATTGATTGAGGGCCAGTTAAGGGTGAGTGGATGTCCGTGAAGACGGAACCTGTTAGAGAAAGTGAACAGAAATATGAGATCATGAACTTTTTCTTTGATATTGATAACTATCAACTTAGCATTTTTGTGTAATGATACATCATATTTAATCCTCATTGCTTCTCTTCATTCAGTCTCTTATGTTTAACATTCACAAGAATTACATATTTCAACTTATAGAAATTGCTGATTTGAACAACAATTGAAAATATGATCCTTGCTTATTTTAGAATGATAAGACAACGACCCTTATCTTATGTTCACTAACCTTTATTAATATTTTAGAATCTATTCTTGAGGTTGAGTGGGTGCGAGTAAAAAGAAAACTCACACTTGCTCATTCACGCTCAATTCTAGCACAAAATGATTGATATTCATTGACTCGTTTGAAAACAAAGATTCTATTAGATATATCGAGATAAACAATCAATTTTAAAGAATGATTAGTTTTATTGTCTTTTACGGCGGCATCTTTCAGTAATATGCTACAAATCGAAAATTCCACTTAAATATTTTCCCTTTTTTATATATGCTCAAAATTGAGCAAATGAAATTGGAAAAGAAAAAAAAAGTCACTTTAAGATCGTACAAAAAAGGAATGTTTGGCGTTATATAAGATGCAACGAGTTCAGAATAAGAAAAAAGCAAAAAATCGAGTTGAGCATATTAGTTTTTTCTATAAACGAAGCGGATGACTCAGTGTCATATAACAGACTGGCAAGAATGTGGTTGGTTTCGCTAATACAAATGGACTGCAATGTTGATTTATAACACGTACAAAATCTATAGACAATGGTCCTGACTTAGCTGCACAGCGAAAACACTAATGATTGTCCCGTTGCAAAAATTTGATCGCCAAAGGCATTTGTAGATCAGGATACTTAGCAGCATCATAATCACTACCTCGTTGATAAGTTCGAATTTCACCATTCTGATCAGTTTTTATCAGTTTCAATGTTGCTGTTTTCCAATCATTTGTTGTCGAAGCAAGCCAATATTCTTCAGTAATAGTTGCAGCACGTCGATTAAAAATATAAGAAATATCTTCTAATTTACGACATGTTCATCAAATATTTTTTTCAATTCTCTTGCATGTCGAAAATGCATATATGTCATACCTTGTGCATATTGAGGATTAAATGTGTACATTGCATCATCTAATAATATGTAATTTAGAGGCCATGTTTTGCCTAATAATTCGACATATTTTCGATCATTAATCGCCCGACGATATGGAATTAATGAACTACATATTTTTGTTGATTTTAATATCGAATTACATTCGCTATCTAGATGTTCTTTTGCTCATTCTAATAGGTTTTCATACGAATCATTTGATGGATATTCTGCATTGACACAATAAACTGCAGTCGTCGATAAGTTTCTTAGAGAATTTTCATCATTTGTTTTTATTGTACATATTGGAGTTATATAGCATTCTGTTTTTTATACCAGGTGAGTTAGTGTTATTGTCAAATAAATGCATCGAATCCAATGATGAATTTTCTGTTGTAAATCTTTCACCTATAAATATAACATAACCACAGCCAAAATGTATTTGTTCGGTTGGTACAATTAAATTAAAACTTCCTTTTAGCCATTTTATTGATGATGTACTGCGATCAGTACAATCAACAATAAGATCACCATAGATATCTAATAATTGTGAATCATCATTTTTTTTTTCAGTCGATATTTACACCTTAAACAACATTGGATAATTGATTAACAATTAATTGAATTGCTCTTGTATTAGATATCCATTCAATTTGATTTCCATTTTGTAAACACAATTCTTTTCTCAAAACTATCTCTAATGTAAAACGATCAATACCCAACCATTCCAGATCTTCAGTTAAAATTTGATTTAAGAAATTACCATTAACAACAGTTCTTACTTCACTTTTTAATGAATGCGTACGAATGTCATACTCATTCAATAACTTCTCTTTCAAATCAAGCAATAACTGGTGCAATATATTTATTCCTTCGCTCGAGAGTAAATGTATCTGATATATTTGACTAACACCTGAACATCCTCTTGATGATTCACCCAACTTTGGTCGAAAGAGAAAAATGCCGAAAACAAAAATAATACAAAAGTCGAAAGATGGAAGTGTTGAACATGAAAGTTTATAAAAGGAGAAATCTTTCTCACCCTCACTCTTACATCCTCACCTTCACCCCTCATTTTGGTTTTCGAGTTTTTTATTTTCGATATTTCTCTGTTCGACTAAAGTAGGGTTAACCGTCCTCGTCTTATTGATGTTGAACTTTCCAGATGACAAGGATAATCTAATATTTCTTACTGATCATACTAAAAAGACGTTCGAAGTGAAGGAGAAGAATGCGATAGTAAAAGTTAGATCCATTTTCAAGTAATGCTTGCACTTTGTTTTAAACTCTTAAATTTTATTGTTACTAATTGTAAAGATAAGATCAAAATCTTAATTTTATCTTTTTCATAAGAAATGGAAGATGTGAACAGATTACATTGGATATAGAGAAAATTTTATAATAACTAAAACATTATAATTCAAACGATAGCTCCTTAAAAGTACTAATCACAACAGAATAATACATCAACGAAGAAGAAGAAGAATGACAATGAGATGGAGTAGCGACGAACAAGAATAATCAAATGAATCATGCTCTTACCAAAAAATATACACATTTTTCAAGTAATTTTGTTTTCTTTCGTTTCCCAAGATACAATAAATAAGGTTGCAGAATGTGCATGCAAATAGTATTGTTTGCAATGGGGTAAACCCGAATTTGAATAGACCCTTACATTCATTATTTGTATGATCAACTCTACAAAATTTGTGAACAATGCACAAAGAACCGTACATTAATAAACCATAAGGATTTATGATGATGGAAAAGATTGATCATTTCTATGAACGGGTTTATGGAACAACTATCATGAACTTTCATTGTATTTTGTTCAAAGTTACATACTCCCTATTCTCATTCTACTTTGATCAGATTCTTAGTGAGCTTTACCCAACAATATCATATGCATCATGTAGAAATGTATAAGTACACCCCTGCCATCTGGATTGAATCTATCAATATGTGCAAGATCAGAGAAGGTGTAGAGTTATCAGGTAGGTTATCATTTTCCACAAATCAGGTTCCCTGAATTCATCCCTAAATGAAATCCACATATATGGATAATTAATCGAGTAACGTTCATACTGGTGACCAAATAGGGATTTTAATTTAGGGATTTTT